TCGTTTGGTTCCTGGAAGCCGCCGCCGCCACCCTCCCTCTCCCTCCCCCTCCCTGGACACACTCTCTCAAGGCGAAATCCAACGACACTATAATGACGTCGCACTCGCGAGTGTGCGTGTGTGTGCGTGTGTGAGTGTGTGCGTGTGCGAGTGTGTGTGCTTGTGTCGCTGCAGCCGGCGGCCACGGTACGACTGATTCGTTACTCTCGCCGCTGATCACAGTCCCGGATGACAATTACTTCCGATTATTTCCTCGGGATTGCCGCAGGGAGGGTGTCATTACCGTCCAGTCCAGGGCTGTGACACCGTGACACCCTAACGCAGCTAACGCGGCGTGCCCGTGACGGTGGCCGAGGTGTGGTGATGCGTCGCGCCCCGCATCCGGATGCTGCTTTAAGGACGAACGCGTGGAGACGTAGCGCCGCGCAGCGCCCGGACAGTGACTCAAACGCAAGGCGACACGTGTGTGCGGGTGTGTGCGCCTCACTATAGCATTGTGCATGGGCACTGTCGGTGACACCAAGACAGTCTCACATTCTCGAGACTGTTTCGGTTTCCATCATTTCCAATAATGGCAAAGGGTTTTCTTGAATAATGTTGCAAGTACATTTGACTGACTGTCTTGCGCGTTACTTGGTGTGACAGAATGTCATGTCATGTGTCAAGTATGGCAAGCATCGTGTAAAACACAAGTTAGGTTCGTTTGAGTCAAACTGTTGTTCGTATTATCAAAAACATTCTAAATGTTTTAAATAGATTACTTTTGGAATGGATCAAAATCACATTTTTGGGGGTGTTCATCTTTTAAAATGTCCTTTAAAATTTGAAAATTTTGTTCATTGCTAACAAGGGAACCTTTTCAGGTGTAGCTAAATCTCCGATTTTGTTGAAACTTGGAAAATTTGAAGGTTATTTATGTAGAAATCGGATGGAACTTGAAATTTTTCCCAAACCTCACAATGAGTTTTCCCCTATACAGTAGAAGTAGGGTTTTTCAAAAAGATTTTTTTTTTTTTCAAAATTGAAAGTAGTGTTCTAAGGCGTAACTTGTCAAAGTAGCGTTCTTGAGGGAAAATTTTGTCCGTTTTGCTCTATTTTTTACCGTTAAGGCGGTAGATGGATATTTGGAACAAAAATCAGTGTAAGGCTGAAGTAAACCCCTACTAACTGTGAGGTTTCGGAAAAATTTCAAGTGCCATCTGACTTCTATGATAATGATCTTTAAATTTTCCGAATCAACGAAATCGGAGATATACACCAGAAAAGGTTCCCTTTGAGTAGAGTAGGTTTCCCTTAGAACTTCCGTGTTGACGACGGAGATTCACACAGAAAAGCCCGTTCTCAATACCAGTCCATTTCTATGACTATGCAATGAAATGCTTTGGATGACCTCTCCATTGACAGTTTAAAAAGCCTTTCACATTAGTTTTATTTTTAGTACTTTTGAATTTACTTGTCGACGGGTTTTTGAGACGCTGGACATTAGCCTGGGAGTCACTGGATATGATTGGCCTGGAGGTGCTGCAGATTCAGGGTGGCAGAAAGGTGGCCGGGAGGCTGGCTCGGAGGCTCGGAGCGCTCGCCTGGCCGAGCTGAATGCCGTAGTGTGCTGGCTGCGGGCGTGAGTTGGCGAGGCGGATTTCCCTCCGGGGCGCTCACGCGAGAGGTCGGCGCGGAGCAGCGCGGCGCCGCGGTACCGGTCTATAGACTCTTAATTCACTCTCCATTCAAACTCTTTGCTCCGTCACGCCGGCGTCAACCACTCGGGTAACGACTCATCCCGGAACACGGCGCGGCGTGTGGAGCAGAGTTTTCAAAGGAGGCTTCCTTAAAGTTTAGCGTAGGACAAACCGCCGTACGTGTGCGCATTGGTGAACTAAGAAGGGCATTTTGTGTAAGGCCAACTGCCAAACCATATTTACCAACGTGCGTACTTGTAGCTTATTTGCGCTCGGGCCCCTGCGAAGCTAGGGGTAGGCCATCCCGCCGTACACCCGTGCCCACTGGTGGCCTAGCTGCAGACGGCCCCTTTAGGTAGGCCATCCCGCCGCACACCCGTGGCCACTGGTGGCCTAGCTGTAGGCGGCCCCTTTGGGTAGGCCAGCCCGCCGTACACCCGTAATCCGCAGGTGGCCAGGCATCTACACTGCAGTAAAAAGGGCGTGCAGCTCTGGCCAGGGCGTTGCCCGCCGACGTGGTGGCGTTGCTGGTCCAGGTCAGCATGGCGGGGGGATGGATGCACCGCTCAGAGCGCCCCGCCCGTCCCGCCCGAGGACCCCGTCCTGCTGCTGCCCAACAATGGGACCATGATTCTCGCATCGCTCCCGGGGATGTGTATCTGACACCGAGAGCCAATGAGATGCTAATGCCCCGCGCTTGTGGCAGACACTGCAGCCGACCGCTGCTCGGCCGCGAGCGGCGCGCGCGTCCCGCCCGGTGAGTAACGGCCTGCAATAAAGGTGTATCGACACCGCGCTGCTCTAATTACAAGGCGGTGCTCAGGAGGCGGGCGGGCCGGTGCCGTTTGACAAATAGGGCCACCGCCGCGACCCCTAACCTCACACACTGCGACCCACGTCACGTACCGCACCGCGCTGCACAATGAGAAAGAGACAAAACGGCTCCGCGGCCGGCCGGCGCTGTGTGGGTGTGCCGGCGGGCCGGCGGGGCACGCGCGCGAGCGCCGACTCCAGACGGCCGCATTATATCAGGTCGCGAGCACGGACGAGTTTTTTCTTTTTCATTATATCTCTTGTGCTCCTTTTCTTCTTCTTCTTCTCCTACCGTCTGCTTGCTGCTTGCTAGTGTGTCGTGGGTATGTGTCGCGGCCGCTGCTGCTGGGCTGGTCCACCGCATGCACGACACTTCACGTTCCGATCCGCGAGTTGGCAATCCAGTCGCACTGACTGCAGGCAGGGCGCGCCGCCGCGGGCGAGCCGCGAGCCGCGAGCACAGCCATGAGCCGGGCACACACATTGACACGACGCGAGCTCATTATATGCCGCCATCTGATAAAAGAACAAACGCCGTCCGCTCCTGGCATCTAGGCCCCGCCCTGCCAGGCCCCGCCCCACCCCACCCCACCACGCCACTCCCCGCGCGGGGCTGGGGTTGTGTGTTGTTGGCGATCGCGGCTCTCGACACTGGCGCAAACGCCGACAGCGGGACTCCAGAGCCTCTCGTCGTCGTCATCGCGCTTTCGTTTTTTCGCCCGTGAATTTCCACTACACATTACACCGACAAACCTTCACGTCAGTTTGTTATACAATGAGAGCTGAAGGAATGTCAGCAGCAGACAAGCACAATCTAAAAGATGCTATCTCCGCAGGAGCATGCACGAGAGACGCTCATCTCCGGGATGAGAAAAAGAGACGAAGACAGACGGGCAGCGTTCGACTGCAAGCTGAGAGGGTTAGGCGCTCGTTCGCGCGCGCAAACACACACACACACACACGCGCGCGCGTACACGTGCGTGTGCCTGCGTGCGCTTTCGAGTGTGTGAACCTGCCAGTCATCGTTGTCCGTTGTTGTTGTGTAGGTGCGGTCGTTGTGCACCGAACGGGTATGTATGTATACCACCAGCGGCGGGCGGCGGTGCCAGCGCCAACCACACTAGAGACAGACTGCTACACTTTGTAGGTCAAGGGCGCCCCCCGCCTCCACCCCCACCCCACATTCCTCCTCTGTACACGTGCACGTCGTGGCGCTGCGTGGCGCGGCGAGGTGTTCCAGGGCCGCTCCAGGCGCTCCGCAGCCGCCCCGCCACCTGAATTAGCAGCCCGATGAGGAGGAGCGACAGGGAGGGGCTGGGGAAGCCGACGAGGAAGAGGAGGATGAACGGGGAGCCGCCGAGGAACAGGGGGGGGGAGGGGGGGGCGTCGATGAGGAGGAACAGGGTGGGACAGCAGGTCAGGTGAATCGCTGAGGGACTTGCGGGGACAGGACAGGAAGGACAGGGGAGGCCGCCGATGAGGAGGAACTGAGAGGGACAGGAGAGGCCGCCGGTGTGGACGAACAGGGTGGGACAACAAGGGAATCGTTGAGGAACAGGGGGAAGGGCAGGACAGGAAGGACAGGGGAGGCCACCGATGAAGAGGAACAGGGTGGGACAGCGGGGGAGGCCGCCGAGAAGCAGAGGGAGGGACAGGGGAGGCCGTCAATGAGGCGGAGGAACAGTGTTCGGGACAGGTAGGCCGCCAAAGAAAAGAGCACCAGCAGAGAGAGGCGGCTGCCCTCCTACTCGCCTCCGCCATTATTCAAAATCTTTAGGAGATATGAAGGCGAAGGCCCCTCTCTATGATGGATCCGCTCGGTGGAGGCGTGGTGGCCGAGGTGGTGGCCGCGGTGGGCCTCGGTGGCGGCGGGCCACCGCGCGCTCAATATCGTCAACAACAACAACAACAACATCAACTATGTTGCGCGGCGAACAAGTTCCTAATTCAATCGGGACTGCTGCGCTCGATGCGGCTTTGCAAACAGCATCCATAAATTTGTTTCTTGTCGGTGGGGCACAGCAGTAGCCCCCCCCCCCCCTTCTACCTCCCGTTTCTTCTTTGACGACGGCGGCGGTCAGTTACGCCCACCGGGACCCGGACGGGACGGCGCACACCGCGCAGAGCTCGCCAGCCGACGATAAGTCCGGATGCGGCCAAAACTGACCGAGCTTTCGTTTCCTGAACTCGTGGCTGGACCAGAGAACGGTCCCGAGGCTAAACAGAGGTTGGGCCCAGGGCTACACCAGACGCTCTGGTCGAGAAGCTGAAGGCTGAACCAGAGGAGGCAGGGCCAGAGGCTGGGCCAGAGCCTTGTCCGGAGGCTGCGCCCGAGGCTTGGCCACTGGCGGAGGCGCAGAAAAAGGCTATGAGAAAAGGCTGCGGCTACGAAAAGCATTTCCTTCCCGACAATAATACAGTGCGGCGCGAGATTGGCTGGGATTGGGACACAATGCGAATCCCTTTTTTGGCGAGCAAGCGCACTCATTGGCCACGTCACGGCCAGGTATGGGTAAGTGACGTAGCGGTGTGTGTGTGTGAGAGAGTGCGCACCCGCGCTAGTGTGTTTGTGTGTGTGCAGGGAGGGGGTGGGGAGGGTGGAGAGTGATTCGTTTCACAGAGCAGGTGAGGAGACAAATGATATTGCGATGGCAATAGCTAGAGGTACACCCGGTGCTTCGGAGAGGTGCAACTTGATCGCCAAGACGGCGGTTTCATGCCAGGAGGCTGTGGTCCCCCGTGGCTACACTCGTCTCCAGCGCCACCTCCTCGAAAGCACCGAGTTTACCTCGCAAGATCATTTCCCTCCTCGCCTTGCCTCATAAAACCGCTCACCCACTCCGCTCCGTTGTGATGTTACACTTTTCTTAAGCGGCGTCGTCTTCGTTTACTCGTTAGGTTGCAACTCAGTCTTGAGCTTTATTCTCCCCTCTCAGATGTGTGTGAGTGTGTGTGCAGTGCACCCTGCCCTGGCGACTCACTGCAGCCCCGCCCCGCCCCAGCCGCGAGGACGCGCTCAAGCCCGGCTGCACTTACCTTCGCATTTTCACTCGGTTCGCCGTAATGGAAATTAATGGCGCGACCAGCGCGACGCTCCACGCACGCAAGCCTCGCGGCCCTCTGCTCTGCGGCTGGGGGTGACCCGAGTGGTGACCCGAGGGGTGACCCGAGGGGTGACCCGAGTGGTGACCCGAGGGGTGACCCGAGGGGTGACCCGAGGGGTGACCCGAGGGGTGACCGACGTGGGGGGACTTGAGCCCGGCGAGCGTGTGTGGAGGCGCCGTGGCGCGGCGCGGCCGCTGCGCTAAATCATCTGCTGCAGCGACGCAGCGACCAGCGCCTCTGCTGTGACGGACCCGAGTCGTGCGAGAGAGATCGATCTCTCGCTCGCTCTCGTGCTGCGCGAGCGGTGCGAAGTGAGCGGCGAGGATGATATGTCGTGCGTACCGTACGGATCCCCCCGCTAGGCCGTCGTCTCGTGCCGCCTCGCTCGCACCCGCACAACCCCCGCGTTATTGAGACGACAGCTCTCTGTCACACAGCAGGATCTCGCCTCGGCGGGTCGCGCATAATTTGCGAGAGCGCATCGTGGCCTTAGGACGCCGTTTCTAGCTAGATCCAGTGGACGTGCAAAAAACACTGCATCTTTATTATTTTTGTCTGGTTATTCCTTCGCGAAATAATACAATACACCCCTGAGACAATTTCCTGTCGCCTTGCTGCTGCGATATAGCGGCTGCCTCACTCACTGCAGTACGGCGGAAGACCGGCGCCTGTCCATCTCATCACCGACGCGCAAAACGACCGGGAGAAAAAGGATGACGGCAGGACGGCAGGTGCAGAGAGCTGTCTGCTGGGTGCGATCGGAACAACGAAGGTGAAAGACGCGGGGCGGGGGGCGGGTAAGGGCGGGGCGTTGCTGCCGAGCTCCGGCCCGATGCCCGGCAGCCCAGCCCGAGCCCAGCCCCCACAAGGTCGGCGGGGCGGTGCATATACGAACAGGTTTGTCGCCGCCCTCCTCTTCCCTGGAGGCCCTGGAAGCCCTGCCGCTCCTGGACGCCGGCATGCCGTAACTGCGGCGCTCTCATTCATACCGCCGCCCCGTGACGCGCCCCTTTCACACGCGGGGCTGGTGCGAAGGGAAGGGGGGGGGGGGTTACCTGCAGCTCGCAAGCAGCCTCAAGCCCAGCCGCTCGATTTCTCATATCCCTCGTAAACGATTCGGGGCGAATGCAGACGGGGTGCGAAAAAGTCATGGAATTTTTCGTTTACTAAAAATTGTTAACTTTTGTGTGTATCCAATATTAGTTACTGTAGGTATTTTTGAGTGACATGGAGGTGTGCTATCATGGAGTTAGTATTCTACATCCATGTGTGCTATACGGTTACTGCATCTTCGCCCGCCTTCACGCTACCGGATCATGTTTCTGGCTCCAGAAGGGCGCCCGTTTCGTACCCAGCACACTGCAATTTACTTCCACCACCCCTCCCCTGACCCCGCGCCAAATAAAGTACGGTCGAGGGCCTTTTGCTCCTTGTTTTGGCCACCCTTGATGTCATGATCCCTGGTCACCAGAGCGCACTCGCGCCCCCCGGAGCGCGCTCCCGGATGTGCAGTCCGTGCAGGCATGCAGCCAGCAGCAGGTCCGGCAGGGGCCCGGCCCGGCCCGGTCTCGCTTTGGCCAGGCTGCGGCGGCGGCTCGGATCGAGCGGCAGTGATGTCAGCTGCTTGCGGCGCTTTGCGTCTGGACGGCCTGGCCAGAGCTGGCCTTCAGGCGCCCGGCCGCGCCGAGGAGGCCCCCCTCCCCCTCCGCAGGGCCTCCAGCGCCTCCAGCGACTCCAGCGGGGCTCCGGCCGGGGGGCTGGCCCGGGCTGGGCCCTGGGCTGCTCGCCGGGGGGCCCTTATGGACCTGCAGGCTGCTGGGCACAAGCCCGAAGCAGGACCCTTGAGGTGGTTCTCCAGTGCCGCGGGGTCACAGCACAACTAGTAGTACAACATGAAAATCGGAATGGAAAACTTTCGATTAAGTGTAACAGCTTACATGTTGCAAATTTAAACAATTTGCCCTTTTGAAATTTTTCATTTTAAGTTTCATGGTGTTGTTTTCTCAGTTATTACGTCACATTTTTCGCGAGAACTCGCCACTCGCCCTTCACGAAGATTACCGGTCCGCCGCCTTTTCGAGGAAGTCGATGACGACGCGTCGCTCGTAGTAAGACGGGGTTCACTAGGAGCATCTGCATATTCGATGACATCTATAGAAAGAAATACATCTCGATTTTTGTTAAATTTTTTTACAAAAAGGATTAGAAATCCCCTTGAAAAAAACCATCGAATTGCTCCCATTGACGTGACGTCACCCATTCACACGGCCGGGTTACGCGCGCCGCCTCGTGTGTTCCGCCCCCCTCGCCCCGCCCCGCCTCCGCACCAGTTGCCATGCGGTGTGATATTCGCACGTCAGCGTGGCTTGGCGTGGAGGGAGGAGGGCAGCAGCAGCAAGCAGCAGTCTGGAGGCGGCTCGGCTCCAGGCTGGAGGAGACAGCGCTCTCGCTGGAAGGGAAAAGTCAGTCGGCCACCACTGCTGCTGAGCAGTGAGGGGAAGAGGGGGGGGGGCGTATTTATTCATAATGTTAGAGGAAATCCTCGCTAGATAACGTTGAGGCTTAAGCGAAAGGAAATGCTGCTCCATATAAACGTTATTGCACAACGTCACCCCTCCCCCCACTCTCTTTGGCCGCGCTGCGGCGCGCGCGTCCCGGAGCGACGAAATGAAACGGTCTGACCTTCGCCTTTTTCTTACGCAATTACAGCAGGTGAATGTTCCGTGATCAGCGAAGATGCGTCACGCGTCACACACTCACACTCATACTACTTACACTCACCAACACCACCACCTGTCCGACTCCTCACCTGATTTTAACATTTTTTCTCTTTTTGTTGTCTGTTCCAGATGACGATGACCGCAAGTTCAGCTACACGGAGAAGCAGCGCTATGACGGCTGGTTCAACAACCTGGGTCACCCCAGCTGGGGGGCAGTAGGTGAGCGCGCGTAACTCATCCAGTTTCTGACCCGATAGACACATCCCACCTCCTCTTCTCCCAGCAGCCACCTCCTCGACCTTCGCCTCCGGAATTCTGTGCCGACCGCTGTCATAGTGCCTCACTTCGGGTCCTTGGGCAGGCGCTCTGGCCGCTCTGGCACTGGCAGCATCACTCTCTGCTCCCGAAATAACCCCCCTCCCCTTCGTTCTAATTGGTCCATCCTCAATACCCCTTGCAGAGCAGCCTCACGGAAGCATTTGTCTTTCCCCAGAGTAAAATGCCTTTTGTTGCGATATTGAATAGACCATTTCAGTTTCGGTGACAAGAAGAAGAAGAAGAAGAAGAAGAAGAAGAAGAAGAAGAAGAAGAAGAAGAAGAAGAAGAGAATAACCGAAACAGGAAACAGTTGGGCGAGGGGTGAAGAGGGACGAAGGGTGGGGGGCGATTAGAAGGCAGTGCTTTTCCGGTTTGTTATTCTTTTCTTCTTCTAATCACTTAACCCTGCAATGGTTTATTGATACCGAAACAATGACAGAAAAATGTACAGATGTCAAGATCATACTTTTATCGATCTGATTCGAGAACCAATAAATTTCTGATATTTGAAATGGGTCTAGCATCGTTTGGATATTCTAGTTTTCACCGGGTTCCAATTCCAACTGATCACAAGGACAATTACGGCACTTGGCGGGCGCCTCGTCGAACCTTACTTTGTGTCCCTCGGAGCCCGTCTGTGTGCCTTCCAGGCTCAGACAAGCCCGACCAGCTCACCGGTCTGCGCTGAAACATTTACTTCTGTTTCTGAACCTTTCGTTCTTTTTATTTATACTTCACTTCTTTTTTTCTGATACGTGAGCGAGCGAGAGCAAAAGAGAGGCAGGCCGAGATGCGGGCCGAGCGGCGATTGTGTGGCAATAATTCTGGAAATACTAATTGTCGAGTCGTGCTGGACCGGGCCCGGGTCCCGGGTGGCTGGAGCCTCCAGGCCTCCAGGCGGCTGCAGGCGGCTCCAGGACCCGCAGGGCCCGGCCGGCCGTCCTGTCCAGCACCTCATTGTGAGGCTCGTCCTTGGTCCGCCCTTGCGCGGCCGCCCGGCCCGGCCCGGCCCGGCCTGCCAATCCGATAATGATGCGGATAATAAATCGAGGGGCCTAAACCGCATGATGTGGAAGGGCAGGCCCTCGACACCGCGGGCGTCAGGGAACGGCCGAGTAATGGGACTTCGACAAGAGAGGGGAAAAAAAGAACCTTTCGATATGCAACCGCAGTCAGCTGCAATGTAATGTTGATTGGGTGGGTGTCATATACGTTTGAGCCAATGCTGAACGGCTGCTTGACCGGTTCCCATTCCATTTAATATATACAAATATATACTTTGTTATATGTGTATAAATTTCGACTTGGTCAAGATCAGCATGACGTGGGCCAACACTTCGGTCAGTGTCTAAAAGTGACTCTGCGATCTCCGATCACCGTCGCGAACAGAGATTAGTGCCAATCACGCTTCCGGCCCCGATGGCGTGGCGTGGCAAGTCCTAGATCCGCGCAGGCCGCCTGTCTCAACTGTCTTGGCTTTTCCCGTGAGCTATCGATATAATTCACAAAGAAGCTGCTGTCGCTCGTCTTGACCCGTGGCGGCGGCAGTGGCTCGAATGGATTTGTGTTTTACTTTTGTTCTTTTGAATGCTCGTCACCTCTCCCCCTGTTCTCTGCCTCCCGCTCTTTATTCCCTTTTTATTCCGCGTCATATTTATACGATAAGCCCTTCCTAAGCAGACCATGGCATCGGAAGATTTTCTCGCCGCATCACGGAAGCCGGGGTGCGTGCAAGCTCGGCGGGCTCATTCGAAATCACTTAATGTCGAACGGTAATATTCCGCCGTC